GGCACCCTCTGTTTGGAGAGGTTATTAATGATTAATTCAACTTAATAGATATAGGCCTATTCAGGTTATCTGTTTCTTCTTGTGTAAATTTGGGAGACTGTGTCTTTCAAGGAATTGGTCCATTTCTTCTAGATTAGATTGTTCATAGTAGTCTTTTAGTGTCCACACATCAGTGGTGATGGCCCCTCTTTTATTTCTTATATTGATAATTTGTGTCTTCTTTTTTCTTCAGTTAGCTTGGCTAGAGGTTTATCAATTATATTGATCCTTCTAGAGAACTGGCTTTTGGTTTTATTAATTTTTTTCTATTGATTTCCCGTTTTTAGTTTCATTGATTTCTTCTCTTAATTTTTATTTTTCTTATTTTGAATTTAATTTGCTCTTCTTTTTCTTAGCCTAAGGTGGAAGCTTAAATTATTGATTTTAGATCTTCTTTTCTAATAGATACATTCAGTGCAGTACATTTCCTTCTAAGCACTGTTTTTGTTGCAGCCAACAAATTTTAATAAGTTGTATTTTCATCTTCATTTAGTTCAAAATATTTTAAATTTTTTCTTGAGATGTCTTCTTTGAGTCATGTGTTATTTAAAGTGTGTTGCTTAATCTCCAAGTATTTGGGGATTTTCCAGTTATTTTTTTGCTACTAATTTCTAGTTTAATACCCTGTCACCTGGCAGCATACTTTGTATGATTTCTATTCTTTTAAATGTGTTATAGTGGGTTTTGTGGCCCAGAATGTGATGTGTCTTGGCCTAGGCTGTTTTTCAAGGAGAAAGTTACTCAAGAGTCTAGGGCCTTGACATTTGACCTTAATTCTAAAATTAGATGCGTCTGTCTCTTGACCATGGCACATAATTTACATCTGTCTCTTGGCTGTGGCACATAATTTGCACCAGTCTCTATAAAAGGACCTTTATCTATGACTTGTTGATTATACAGAGCTGTACCTATAGAGGAAAAGCATACAGAGATTGGAATAAATGATTAAAATAATTTTAACAGTAGTCATTTATTAGACACCTATTATTTGCCATCACTTTATCACTATACCCTATGTGACCCAATGACCCTATAAATTGTAGGTATTATTATTATTTTTAAAGGTTTTATTTATTTGAGGGACGCCTGGGTGGCTCAGTCAGTTAAGTGTCTGCCTTTGGCTCGGGTCATGATCCCAGGGTCCTGGGATCGAGTCCCACACCAGGGCTCCTGGCTCAGTGGGAAGCCTGCTTCTCCCTCTGCCTGTCTCTCCGCCTGCTTGTGCTCTCTCTCTGACAAATAAAATCTAAAAAAAAAGAACATTCCATTAAAAAAGATTTTATTTATTTGAGAGAGAGAGAGAGAGCAAGCGGGGGTAGGGGGGCAGAGGGAGAGAATCTCCAGCAGACTCCATGCTGAATGCAGAGCCCAAAGCAGGGCTCAGTCTCACGACCCTGAGATCATTGACTTGATCCGAAATCAAGAGTTGGACGCTCAACTGTCTGAGCCACCCAGATGCTCCTGTAGTTATTATTATACCCTTCTTACAGATCAGAAAACTGAGGTTCAGAGAGATTAATTAACACAGTCACACTACAGTAGATACTAGGAGGAAGTGTCAAAATCAAGTACGTCTGATTCTGAAGCCTGTATTCTCAGACACCATACAAAAAACAAACTACAAGCCATAATATCCCAGTTCAAGCTAGCCTCTAATCCATGACAGAAATGGGAACCTAAGTTTGCTAAGGGAATATTTGTGTAATGCTATGCCTTTGATTAGTTTCTTTCCAAAATCAATATCACTGAGTTTGCATGCTGTTAGCAGTGGGAATTCTAGTAGTGGTACTTCCTAAGAGCACCTATCTTGGAGTTAAAAATGTAGGCTATATTTATTTAGCTTGGAGTTTTCTAACCAGGGATGATTTTGGTCCCCAAGGACCATTTGGCAAATGTTCGGAAACAATTTTGGTTGTCACAGCTGGGTGAGGTGAGGGGGTAGTGTGCCACTGGCATTTAGTGGGCAGAGGCCAGGGGTTTTGCTAAACATCCTCCAAAAGCCCAAGACCAACCCCACACCCTAAACAAAGAATTTTCTGGCCCCAAATATCAGTAGTGGAGGTTGAAAAACCCTGAGTCTAGCTTGTTCCATCCCATTATTACTGAGAAAACCTTGAGGCCTCAGAAATCTCTCAGCAGTCTCTCAGGATTTGGCTTCTGAGGCTAAGTGCCTCCTATGTAAATACCTTGTAGCTTAGTCCATTAGCTCATTCTGGCACATTTCCTATACCTTCAGCTTAGTGGCCAGAGGCCTACTAAATGGTTGGGGCTTTTTAATAGGGTGATACTTTTTCTTCCTGATGTTTCCGAGAGATAGGCTCAGCTGGCTTGCAGCTCTTGCAGAAAAGAACCTGGTGACAATACGCTAATCTGTTGCTGGCATCTTTTGCTTCCTAATCTGTGTTTACACGGCACTGAAAATCGACTCCCTGGTGCCAGGCTCCATTTCTCCTCAGCGCTCTGGCACCGTTGGCAGAGAACACCTCCCCAATCCCTTCCACACAGTGCTACCCATCCGTGTTTATTTCATTGCACAGCTGTTCTCCAGAAAACATTTCTGGAGGCATGGATGGTACGGGAGCTTCTGGAGCTGGGGGTTTGGAGTCTTAATCGTTGTGTTCCTAGTTGCAGATCCACAGCACTCTTAAAGCATCTGGTATTTTCCTGAACTGTTTTCCGGATTGTAGCTCCCATCCTCTCCCCCAGATTTTAAGCTCCTAGAGTACAGGGTTTGTTCAGTTTATTTCCTACTCTTTTTTAGCATCTAGCATTTCGTTCATCAACTGAGAAATCAACTTACCTTCTATTATTTTGTGTTTTATGCTTTTCTGTTAAAAGTTGGAGGACATGATAAGGAACTACAGTGGTGTGAGAAAGACTGGTGGTCAGAGGGAGATGTCATCTATCTAGATAAACAAGCCAGGGGAACACTTCATAAGTTCAATGATGTTGAGCCTGGATCAGAGTGAAACTGAGTAATTCTTTTCCAGCGATGGTGGTAGACCTTAGAACTAAAAAATGATTTTCATTATCAAAGGGGCCTAAAAAAATAAAATGTTCCTATTAAGAAAGTCCTATATGTAGCTTACCCTCCTCATGACCCAGGAGTTGCTCAGCAAAAGTTCCCAAGTCAGGTGTAATTCTTATAGAATATTCTATAAAGGTTAAAATTATTAACATATTTATTTACCTCATTGAGTGATATGCCACAGGACCCTCAGTAGGAGTTTGAGGTCAGTGGGCTCATTGACAGCACCCCCAAATGCTATAATTCTCAGGCCTTCAGGGGAGATCATGACCATTTGGGTCTATGTCTTTGAATCTGTAAGATTTTAAAGAATAAATTGTGGTGGGGGTATTGGTTTACCTAGAACCATATTCCTCAACCTTTATGTCATTGTTACCATCCTAAGGAGATTTCGTAGACATTTTTTCCCTAATCATCCCCCCTCCCATGAAATTTTAATATCATAGATAGGCTGTATATCTGTCATATACTACAGTGTATTGGAGGCGAGCTAGTGATTGCACTAAGATTTCCCCATGAACCAGTTTTCGCCCCCATGGGGGCACTATTACTCATATTGAGAATATATCATCTTAGCAGTATTATCATCTTGGAAATGAACCGTTTTCACCTTTCTTTACAAATTGAAACTGGGACAAGGACACCATCAATAAACTAATGTTGAAGAGAGTCTTCTTATGTAATAGCTTGCTGCAACTGGAGAAGAGGGAGAAGAGTACTTTTCTGGCTTGTATGGAGAACATTTGCTCTCTGAACAACCTCTCTTGACCATTTGAGGAAAGAATAGCGAAAGACCAGGAATGGCAGAGCAATAAATGCAGCTCACCAAAAGGGGGGTGGTGGGAAATAGATGACAGGACCTTTTTGCGGTGATACTGAAGAATCTAGGTATAAAATTGTCCATTGTTCCAAGGCTAGTAAGTTCTAACAAGTTCAGTTTCTTAAAGTAGGTGATTTGCAGCAGAGAATACCATTTAGGTTGTCTAGCATACAACAGTGTTCTATTCTCCCAAGAAGGTTTGGCTCTGTCTGATCAAAAGGGTGGTTGTGTATGAAATGCACCTCGGAAAGAGGAGGAGGAAATGACATGTTCATGTAAATGAAATACAACTGCAAATTAAAGTGTCACCCTGTTAAAAAAAATCCATTTTTTATTTAATTGGTTACCAAGGAAAAAAATGTCATGCAGAAGTGTATATCTCAGGGAAAGTTAAACCGTGAGATGTTTCAAGTGAATCCAGATTCAAGGAAGTTCTCATGGGGCAGGAAGGGGAGGGGTTTGTAAAATATTGCCTTAATAAAAAATACTCTGATACTGAAAAGCCAGACTCATAAATTTCTGCTGTGTTACATGCCAGGGGTCCAGAAGAAATTAACAAACATGACTTCATTTGTTCTTTACTGTCTCTGTCTATCCAGTCAGCTATATACTGGCCACCTCTTCCCTGGAGGAAACCTCCTTTTGAGATGTTTTATTTGGAAGAAGGTTGTGTACAAAGGAGGAGATGCTTTCTCCCAAAGAGCGTTGCTTACTACAGAGACATCCAGGAATGAAATGCTTTTCTGTGTGGCTTTTCTGTGTTAGTGTTGTCCTCCCATTTTTCACTCCCGCCCCCCCCACCCCGACACGCATTTCTGTGAAAACTATTTGTCTCTTTAGACTGAGAGTCTACCAGACAGGACATATACGGTACCTGCCACATTGTTGGCACTAAGGAAATGTTAAATAATCATTGGAGGGGCCGATGAATGGGATTATGTTTCTGGTAGAATTGTTCTTGAGATATCTTTGCTTTCTCTTTGAGATGGGGACTTGGCAGATGGTTCTTCCTCTTCCCCCTCTCCTGCTAATCCCAGTACATGTTGTTTTATGTTTGCAGAGGAAACATGGATAAAGACTATACTGTGCTCTCTTTGTCTTCTCCCCCACCAGGGGCAGTGATTGGTGATGGACAGTCTGCTGTGGCCAGTAACATTGCCAATACTACCTACCGGCTCCAGTGGTGGGACTTCACTAAGTTTGACCTCCCTGAAATCAGTAATGGTAAGCCAAAGTGGAGCTGGTCCTGGTGGAAGGGGTATTTCTTACTGGTGAGCCTGAACTCAGAAGCCCATGGAGCACTGGAGTTTTCATCATCTTGTTGAGCAGCTGATTTCCCGGTACCGTTTCTGCAGCTCTCCATCAGTAATTCAGCAGACATGTTTTAAGCACCGACCCTGAGTAGCGACCCATGGTAGCTGTGGTGCTAGGAGCAATGCCAAGATGGACACAAAGGTGAAGGTGTCTCTCTTCTGGGGAGTTCACCAACTAGTAGCTCATTGTCCTAAGCCTCAATGTTTAAGTGGAACTGAGAAGCAGGGAAAGAGAAGGGAGTATAGGAGCTGAGAGCTAGCCCTTGTGCCCCTTGAGGAAAGACTGTGGTGATGTGAAACTCATTTATTAATCCAGAGCTGGATGGAACAAAGTGAATGACATGGTCAGTATTTAATTTACAAACATATGTCTGAAGCCTGCAATCCCATATCCCAGTTGTTCATCACAGCATTTTATTTTATTTTATTTTATTTTATTTTATTTTATTTTATTTTATTTTATTTTATATTTTATTTTATTTTTCAAAGATTTTGTTTATTTATTTAAGAGAGAGAGACAGCATGAGCGAGAGGGGCAGAGGGAGAGGGGGAGAGAGAGAATCTCAAATAGACTCCACGCTGAGTGTGGAGACCAGTGCGGGGCTCGACGCCAGGATCCTGAGATCATGACCTGAGCCAAAATTAGGATTTGGACGCTTAACCAACTGTGCCACCCAGGTGTCTCCCATCACAGCATTTTAGACAAGTTATTTCAATTGCTATCTAATGAAGGACTTGCACATTCCTAGAAGTGGCAGTTCAGCCTCTGCTTGAATACTTAAAGTGATAGGTCACACTATCTGGTGAGACGGCCTGATCTTTCACTGATAAGCTTCTGTTATTGTTCCCTTGCTGTTACTTCTTCCCGTTAGTCCTGGTTCTACCCCTGAATCTCCATAGAATATGTCTAATGATACCTCTTCTGATGGTCCTCAGCTGTTTGAAGATAAATTGTCATTTCCCTTTGAATCTTTCTTCTCAGGCCAGACTTCCTTCCTGAGATTCCTTTTACTCATCTGGTTTCCAAATCCTTGACAGTTCTGTTCACCTTCCTGTTTGACTGTGGGGGACCAGAACAGAGTAGAAAACTCCAAATGGGAGCTGTCCAGTACATAGCACAATGGTGGTTTGGACAGTGTTAATTCAGCCTGAGATTTCAGAAGCTTTTCCTGAAGCCACTATTCAGTTTCGGTCACTTCAAATTCCTAGATAATTATTAAGAAATTGAGGCTCTACTATTCTGTTTATTTGTGCAGTTTGAATCTTTTAAAAACCAAAACAGGTTTGGATTTGCTTCTGTTAAATTTTATCTTCATAGTATCATTTGCACTTCCTAGCTCCTCCTTCTCAATGTCTTTCTGAACTTTGGATTCAGTCCTTTTCTCTCAGTCTTATGTCACCTACTAATTTGATAAATACACTTTCTCTGTCTTCCTTTGGATTACTAGGAAAAATGGTCGATCAGTCAGGACATTGTACTGGGCCTTGTGTGATGTTGCTGTGGACTTCCTCTTGTGTCAACTTTGGTTCCTGAATTAGCACCCTGGCCTGGTGTTCACAACTGAAGCCCACGTTTTGTTTTGTTTTTTTCTTTTAATCTTGTCTGCAAGGTATTGTAAGAATTTGTCAGATGCCTTAAAATAATCAAGATATTCTCTGTCTGTGGCATTTCCTGATATGCCAGTCTTGGTATCCTTATCAGACCATGAAAATGAGGTTAATTTTTTATATCCTGATCTTAGTGAAACCACAGTAGCAATCATTTCTTTCTTTCTAAGTGCTTATAAGCCACATGTTCAATAATCTTTTCTTTAACTCTTCTGGGAATCAACTGCAATCTACTTTTTCCTTTATTGAATACCAGGTTTGCTTGTTCATCTCCAGATTCCTGGCCCACATCTTCTTTGCCACAGTTTATTTCCAGTTATTTTGTTTATATTGTTTACTTTGTTTTTTTTTTTAAATTATAATCTGAAATACATTCACCATTCAAAAAATTTTGGACTATAAAATAACAGACAGTGAAGTTTCCCAACTGCTCTCAGCTATAGGCCACTCCTCCCCAGAGGCAACCACAATTAGCAGTTTCTTGTGTATCCTTTCAAGGATATTGTATGTATGTATATATAATATATAGGCAATGCAAATGTATGTTTTTCCATCTTCTGTTTAACCCAGATGGTAACATGTTATACACTCTTCTTTCTGCACTTTGCTTTCTGTACTTTACCGTATATCTTGGTGATCTTTACATACCAGTATATAAAGAGGAGTTTACTCTTTCTTTTTTAATGACTGCCTAGTTTTCCATTGTCCAAGTGGAATCTCTGGGTTGCCTCTTTTAATCAGTCATTTTTCAACTAGTCTTCTCTGAGGAACTTTTAAATTATTTTCAGTCTTTGCTATACAAAACATGTTGCAGTTTGTCATTTTGCACCTGTGCAAGATTATCTACAGGATAAATCCCTATAGGATAAATCCCTAGAAGTGGAATTGTAGTTAGGAAGAGTACATACATCTGTGATGTGGGTAAATGCTGCTAAGTCACCCTCTGTAGGGGTTATGCCCATTTACACTCTTATCTGCAGTTTATGAGAATGCCTGTTCCCCCTAAACTCTTGCTTGTAGACTGTGTTACCATATTTTTGGATATTTGCAAATCTGATAGGTAAAAAATAGTATGCAGGTATTTTAAATTTGTATTTATCATATTACAAACCAGGTTGTGTGCCTCTTTACACACTTAGTTCGTGTATATTGCCTTTTCTTGACTGGTCCCTGTGCTCTACCTATTTTTTATTGTGTTGCTGATCTTTTCCTTATCAGTTCTACAGGAGCTCTTTCTAAATCAGAAAATTAACATACAAAAGGAGTTTCCTAGTTGTCATTTTTCTTTTGACTTTGCTGAAGGTTATTTTTGTCATAGAACTTATTTTAAGTAGTCAGAATTATCCAACTTTCCATTTATGGTTCCCAGGTTTTGTGTCATCATTAGGAGGATCAGTTAGTACTTTTATATTTTAGGTTTTTTTTTTACCTTTAAGTCTTTGATTCATAGAAGTTTAACCTAGTCCTAAATAAGCAGAATATGAACCAACTTTTACCCCATATGGCTACTCACTTGTCCCAACCAGTTTATAGACTAATTCATTTGTCTCCTTTGATTTGGGACGTCACTTCGATCCTATTTTTACTTTCCCGTGTATATTTAGGTGGATTTCTAGACTGTCCATTCTGTGCTAGTGACCTGTTTGATTATTCATGTGAGAGTACTACCGGGATTCAAGTTTTCAGGCATTGTGTTAGAGAATCTAATAGGACCCGTCTCTTCTTGTTATTTTTTTTTTAATCCAGATTTTCCTGTCTGCTCAAGCAGTTTTGTTTTCCTGTATGGACTTGAAAACTATTTTGCTTCTTCCCTTCCCCCCCTGAAAAAATCCTATTAATATAATTATTGCAGTCACATTAAATTTGTAAATTAACTGAAGGAGATTCAATATCTTTATGGTTAGATTTAAGAATATGGCATGATTTTTCCATTTCCACAAGTTTCTCTTGTGTTCTTAGGAATGTTTTAAAGTTTTCTTCATATAGCTCCTTTATGATTCTTTGGTTTATTTATTTATTTATTTGAGAGAGCAAGCGTGTGCGCGTCCATGCAGGCGAGCAGGAGGAGGGACAGAAGGAACGGGAGAGAATCCCAAGCAGACTCCCTGCTGAGCATGGAGCCTGATGCAGGGCTCGATCCCGCCGCCCCAAGATGCGACCTGAGCTGAAACCAAGATTTGGATGTTTAACCTACTGAGCCAGCCAGGCGCCCCTAGATCCTATACAGTTCTTAAGTTTACTGTTAAAACTTATTTTTAAAATCCTACTACTATCTTACTGAATTGTTTACTAATTTTAGTTACTCAGGTAAATCTCCTGGGTGTTCTAGGTTTGTTATCTGTAAGTAATGATAATTTTACCTCCTCCATCCTAAGTTTTACATTTGTGATTTCTTTCTCTTGTCTATTTGCTTTGGCTACCATCAAAACAATGTTAAATAATAGCAGTCATCCTCATATTGCTCCTGATTTTAGTGGGAAAACGTCTAACTTTTTCCCAGTACTTTTTTTTTTTTTAAGTTTTACTTATTTAAGTAATCTCTACACCCAACGTGGGGCTTGAACTCATGACCCCGAGATCAAGAGTCACATGCTCCTCTGACTGAGCTAGTCAGGCGCCCCTAGCTTTTTCCCAGTAAGCATATTTCCGGCTTTTAGGTTGAACTAGAACTAGTTTATCATTTTAAGGAAGTCATCTATTCCTATTTTATTGAGAGTTTGTATCAAGAATGGTTATTGAATTTAGTCATGACTTTTCAGTATCTATGAAGATGATCGTACGTTTTTTTCCCTCTCCTTTGATCTAATAGTATAATCATTATGTTAATAGATTCTGTAATATTGAACCCATCCTTACATTTCTTGAATAAACCCCACCTGGTCCTTTAATGTAAAATTCCTTCCCTGTAGCTTGCTAATAGACTTTTTTCACTGATATTTGTAAGGGAGATGGCTCTGTCCAGACTTTTCTTTTTTATGAAATCTATGAATTTGGGTATCAATGTTACTGTGCTTGTGTTATAAATATAATTTGGAAGTTTTTCTTTTTTTTCTTTGGAACAGTTTAAATAGAATTGGAATTACTTAGACTTTTTGTACTTTAAAGGTCTGGGCCTGATGCATGCATGCATGCATGCTTGCTTGCTTGTTTGCTTGTTCTCTTGCTTGCTTTTGCATGCATAGGGAGAGGTAGTTCTTTGATAACTTTCTCTGTCAACTGTCCTATGATGGTTAAACACGTGAACTCTTAAGCTGCACTATCTGGGTTTGAATCCCTGGTCAGCCATCTTCTAGCAGTATGACC